TCCGCCTACCTTATGTTCTTCTGTATCACAAATCTGTAATACTTTGAACTTAATTAGCACCTATTGGCAGGTGGAGAACTTCACCCACTCACTGTGGGTTGAGATGAGAGTCCTTAGCCAGGTGCACAAGGTACTTTGAATTTAATGGCTTTCAGAAAATGACATTTAAGTTCTTTCTTAAGCTAACTATAAAAAGACACTGAAGGAAAGCTGTATAGCTCAGCAGTAGAGTGTGTGCCTAGCATGTAAAAGGTCCTGGGTTCAATCCCCAGTACGTCCAGCAAAAATAAAAAACTAAATAAACTAATTGCCCACACACACACAAATAAACTGGGAGGTGGGGGGAGACACTGACCTGTGATGCAAGTTATTCCTCCACATTTTCCTCATGTGTGTACCTTAAATTAATCCTGAATGTCAGAATGAACTCTTACTTCTGTCTGCTGCTTGAAAATAACTTGAAGGATGAAGTTCTGACATGGTGTTATTATTTTCCTTAAATGCATGTTAAGAGTGAAAGCTGTAATTTCCATTTTTATCTGGGCCATTACTCAAAGAGCTTTAGTTAAGCTCTCAAGAATTAAGAAAACTATAGTATAAGAATGCTTTGTACAACCTGAGGCATGTGTGGCCTAAGCCATTGTTTGTAGACATAGAGAAATGAAAATAAGACTAAAATTTTGATGAATATATTTTAAAAATTAAGAGGTAACTCACTATGTAACACTTAATACCTAGATTTCAAATATGTTAACTTTTTAGATTTACTTAGATCATGTGGCATTTGTTCATGATAGTTTTGATTAATATATTGCTATAAAAACCTTTAACTTCTTCTCTGTTTTTAACTGTTCCTAGTCTCTTATGAGAAATTACATCTCCCATTCCACCACCAAATCTCTTCAAAGCTGGTAACACCATACATACCATAGCACCTTGAAAAATTAATTTCTGCATTAGCCCAAGATAATTCTTTGAAAGTTACACATCATGTAAATGTATCATGACACAGTCTCTATTAGCTAAATAGTAGCTCTTAATGGACTTAACAATGGCAAATCATTTACATTTTCCAGTTATTTTGAAGGGAGTTTACAATGATTGTTGCCTGTCCCTTCCTCCTTCCCTTAAGCAACAACAAGGTAGAACCTTTCTAACATTGGCTATGGTTCTTAATTTTCCCTTTAAATAATGGCTTGACCCTGGAGCCCTAGAATGACTTGAGGAAAACTGTAAGCCATATTTCTGCTCAACTCTAGTCTGAAGTCAGACATCTGAAGAAGGAACAAGACATATATAATGGAATCCATCTCTTGGAGGACATCAAAAAGGGAATTTTCAAGTCATTTCTTGTACAGCCTAGCTGTTCAGATAAGCATATAATCATTTCAGCCTCTAAATAAAGTTTTTCTTAATTTAAAAAAAATGACATAAGGTATTGTTATTAAGGGTGAATGAATTGATTTCTGAGGGAAAGATCTTATAAATCTACAGTCTTCAAAGCCAATCTTGGGCATTTATTTTACTAGGTTTTTCTTTTTATATTCGTGTGGTTTATTTCAAGTGTAAGTGGATGAGCTATTTGCATTCCTTTATGTGTTACATAAGAAACCATTCAAGGAAAATCTCTTAAAGTGAAAGTTTGTCCTATGGTTGCTCCTCTGTAGAAGAGTCATTACCGACTGGTAAACAGCAACGGAGCTCAGAGACAGCTCTTCTGGGTTTACACTACTAACACAAGGGCGCTTGAAAGTCTGTGAGAGGGAGAGAAGACTGTGGGTTAAGGGGCTTTGCCCTTCTCCATCTTCGATGTCTGTCATATGGGTCTTTTGGAACCATCAGTGCAGTCATTGCCTCTACTACGTATGTCTATTCAGGCCTTTTTACATATACTTCAGTATTTATTAAAGGACTTTTTAAACAACTTCATCCCACACCGATCTCTTGTCCCTCCAGTTTCTTTGGAAACTTCTGTACCAAAAATGGAGAAACTTAGTACTGATTTGTAAATTCTTTGTTCATAAATTAGTTCGTGTGTGTTTTGAATCTACATAATGATTTGGACATAGCCCATTGCTTGTAATTTTTTTCTTTTCCCATAGCACCAATTACAGTGTTGGATACAAAACAAGGACTCTATTAAGGGTTTGGTGGTTGATAATTAAAAGGATCAAAGAAAAGTATCAGCCAGGAGTTATATACTTGTTAACCTCTGGTAAATATAGTAGCCAAAAATTTCTTTTCCTCTACTCTTGCTTTTTGTTACAGAAAGCAGCAATTGAATTATTGTAGGGAAAAAAAGGAGGTGAAATTAATTTAATACTTACTTTAAAAGGAGAACGTATTAAGCACTGTTGCAAATATATAAAATACCTTTTGTTGGCCCCAGGAAAAAGGTTGGGCTCATTTAGCTTTTAGCCCAATTATGACAGATGAGAAAATAAAGGGTATAGAAAATAGAGATGTTTGGTTTTCTAAGTTGCCCCCAAGTTACCTTTTTTTTTTTTAAATGCCTGCAAGCATTTCTAAACCGGGAGCCCGATGGCTGCAGTTGCCAAACCGGTTTAACAGCGCTGCCTCCACGTATTCTAGGTGAGAGGGAGCTCCGAGCACATAAACTTATCAGAGATCACCCTGAGATCCCAATCATCTCAGAACAAGTTGTTTAGTAATGTACTGTAGTTTCTGTGCAAACCGTCTACCATAAACCACGAAGTGATTCAAGGTTCATAGTTCTTTCTTTGTTCCTTTGTTAATCACTGACTTCTGACCAGTGGGAGGTGCCTCCCAAATTTGCTAATGCATTCTTTTTGGATAAGGATGACGCACAGATTGTCCTAATAAGGACTTGGATTGAGAAAGGACCGCCCCCTCTGAGAAGATGGGACAAGTCAGAGAGAGGGCGGGCAGTTTCTTTTTCAACTGGGGATGACACAAGCATAAGTCATTTCCTTATTAATCGGTTCAAACCAGTTCTTACAGGAACTGGTGGTGATAAATGTGAGACTTCTCAGAAGTCATTCATTTTATTCTTTGTACCACGCCAGGGTGCAGCATCAGCCGGGCTGGCCTCACTCTGAGAACTCACTCCTCTGCTAGAAGGGACCCTCAGCCCCTAGTTTCTTCTTAAACACGTTGGTGGGAGAGATTTTCCTCCCTTATGGGGTTGTTAAAGGATGGATTTTTATCCACTGCAAAGAGCTCCCAGGGTTTTGCCAGCTCTGCTGATTGTACTTTACTTTTCCTCTATCTAATCCCTGCTTCTTGAGTCGAGGCGGTAAGTGGATTTTTCTTTAACGTTTTTCCTGCTTTTCTTCCCAAATGTATCTTTTTTCCTTGGGTTATTGTACCCTGCTTCAGTGCTGTCCCCGGCATAGGTCCATCTCTGCAGAAGCCATTCCAGGAATACCTGGAGGCCCAGCGGCAGAAGCTTCACCACAAAAGCGAAATGGGCACACCGCAGGTGAGACTTCCCTCTGCTTTCTCCTTTCCCCACCCCGACGGTTTCAGGCTGAAATTACATTCATAGCACTCCCTGGCATTTTTAGGCAAATAGAGTAGATAGAGGTTTGTTTGTCTGTCTTCTTTAACAGAAGTGCGAGGTTCTGTTTACTCTCTACTGGCAAATTTGTCTTTGTCTGAATCAGAAAATGTGATTTCTCTTCTGTACATCTTCTCCCCAAAACCAGGGTTGAGCTAATGGAAAATAATAGGTCTGTTACGTAAAATGAGTTTGCTTCTTGATCTTAAATGATTGATTAGCAAGTAAACTTTCCCAGTGGATTAAAGTTAAAATTTATTGCATAACAAAGTGTTGAACTTAGTGAGGTCCTTTAAATATCTTCCTTCATTTTTACTCTAGTTTTCTTTTCATAGGTGGAAAAATCTTTTTTTTTTTTTAGTGGAAATCAAAGCTGTTAACATAGCTGAACTTAAAAACTTTCAAATTAAACGAAGCCTGCCTGTTCTATAAACAGCTCTGTGGCAAAAGGAAGTGACCAGAAGAGGATGAGTAGGCAATGACCTGAAGTGGGAAAGTTGAAGGAAGCATAGTTTTAATTTTTGTGTGTTTCTTGTTTGCTTTTTTATTTGAAGGCCTTGCACTCTTTATGTGGCCCTTTGCTGCCCTCAGTAGACCAAACATGACTTCAGAAATAGATAACATTTATATTTTAAAAGCTGCTCCTAATACTGGAGATATAATATATTTACATATATATATTATAAAAGTATCTTGACACTACAGTCTACAAGTATCTACGGGGTTACTTCAGGTAGAATTTAATCAAAAAAGAAAAACAAGAAATGACCTCACTCTTGTCCCCCTAAACTATGTGAATCAACCTGCACTTTATATCCAACAAAGTGAAATCTTATTAACTCCGTATAAAAAGGCCTGAATGTAGGTTTCACAGTAGCTGAAAACACAAGACTTTTCGTTTTTAATTGTTTCGGCTTTATAGGTTCTAAGCTCCAAGTTCTCCTTATTTTCATTAAAACATGGTAGGTAATCCTCCTTTTACTACTGAACTAATGAAGCATTTCTCATGGGTTGTTCTGCCTTCATTCCTGCAGGGAGAAAACTGGTTGTCCTGGCTGTTTGAGAAGTTGGTCGTTATAATGGTGTGTTACTTCATCCTGTCCATCATTAACTCCATGGCACAAAGTTATGCCAAACGAATCCAGCAGCGGTTGAACTCAGAGGAGAAAACTAAATAAGCAGAAAAAGTTTTTAACTGCAAAAATTAATACGGACGGGTTCTGCCTTAAATTGGGAGGACTCCAAACCAGGAAGGAAAATTCCCTTTTCCGACCTGTATCAAATTTTTTTTCCCCCTGAAAGCAGTTTAGCCCATATTTTGCACTGACATACTTTTCCTTTGTGTGTTAAGGTAAGGTATCCACCCTCAGTTCAATCCAAGTTGTATTTTATTAGGGTGGAATGTGATGGTCAGCAGCAAATTTAACAGAAACTGGCCTTCTATTTGTTACTTTCAAAGGTCCACATGGTACGATTAAAGAATTCCGGACACCAAAAAAAAAAAAAGTTCCTAATACGTTAAATATGTCAGGCTTTTCTGGTTGTAACAAATGACTTCTTTGTTTTTCTAAGTCATCAAAATGTATATAAATTATACTAGATTGGATACCAGTCGTGCATGTCTATCATGGTAAAATTTAATATGCCATCCTGCCCAGTCTTTCCCACCTTTGAAAAAAGGCCATTTTATGATGCGTTGCACACCCTCTTGGGAAACTGATCTTTAAATTTTGAGACAGTATAAGGAAAATCTGGTTGGTGGCTCACAAATGAGCTGACACCATTTTTTATTCTGTATATTTAGAATGAAGTCATGAAAAACTTTATAAAGACACCTTTGATCATTCCAAAATTGTGTCCGTTTTCTTGAGCGTTTTGATTTTTTTTACTTCCTTTTAACCTCTACCAGCTAAATGCAGCCTTACCAAATTCACCTACCACCACAATTTCTTAAGCCTTTATTTATTTGAGTGAAAGAGCTACCACCGAGGCATTTTTTGCTAGGATGGGACTGCTCAGTAGCTACACGCTGAGGAAATGGCGCCTTGGGGACTGGCGTATTGAGGGGATTTCTTTGTGAAAACAGAAGAGATGATAAAGGACACTGGAGAGAATGATAACTTTAAAGAAAAAAAAAAGACCTTTCTCATATCCATTTTTAATTTAGCACTTACTCTGGTTTTAACAGACAGAAATTTACTTTTATGTGTAACCTAATTTTCTTGTCTTCAGTGTGTGTTTTGTCCTTATGTGATTTTACCTCTGGGATGTTTCTGGTTGAACTTGCTCATCTTGTTTTGCTTGGGAAAAAAATAAACAATTTTACTTTTTTCCTTTAGGAAAATTGGTACTGACAATTATGTTGAATGTAGAATTGGGTTTAAATGTGAACAGGCCAGAAATGCCTGGTTTGTTTCATCAAATCCTGCCTGAATGTCCGCTTGTTTTGCCTCCGTCGTGACATCTCCATGGCTGTACCACCTTGTCGGGTAGCTTATCAGACTGATGTTGACTGTTGAATCTCATGGCAACAGCAGTCGATGGGCTGTCTGACATTTTGGTATCTTTCATCTGACCATCCATATCAAATGTTCCCATTCAAACATTACCCAGCATCATGGTTTACAAGTTTAAGGGGAAAAAAAAAAACTGGTTCTTATGTCTAGTGGCACTTTGAATCTTTTATGCCATGATATTGCGGTAGTATCAAGAGGATTTATTGGAAGATTGGGTTAGTCTCTGTGAGCAAAGCTAAATAAATAACGGACAAGCAACCTGCTTTGTGGGTTTTGGAAAGGTTACTTCTTAACGGTCTTTCTTCTCTGCCCAGGGACCTTCTGGCCATGTGGCTTTTAACCTTGCTTGAAAAGCAGTAACCGAATGCTTTATCTTCTATAGATTCACATTAACCAACGTAAGTTTTTAGATTCTTCAGGGTTAGTGTGTTTCTAAATCAGCTTCCTGTTGTGTTTCATCTCCTTCACCTGCATTTTATTTGGTGTTTGTCTGAAGAAAGGAAAGAGGAAAGCAAATATGAATTGTACTATTTGTACGAAATCTTTGGGGTTAGTTGGTAAATTTATTTCAGGGTAAGGTATTCAAAAAAAGGAAGACTTTTTTCTTAGGCTGAAGGTCTAAATGATTATAATACATTTGACGCATGATAACGGCTTGTTCACTCTTTCAAATGAATTTGCTTTGAAAACAAATGAAGAGCAGCTTTCCTCTTCCCTCCGCTAAGTGTCAGGTGTGGCATGCGCAGCCGATCCAGTCGACCCTTCTGTTCCAGCGGTTGGTTTGTCCCTTTCTTTTATCCACCAGAGTGAATCCCAAAGACGTACCTAGTTAATTCCAGCTAACTGGAGACCAGAAAATTTGTAAATGAGTGGTTTGGTATTACTGCAAATAAAAAGGGCCTGGGAATTCTTTTGATTCCATCTCTACTTTGTTTAAGTGTCATTTTCTGTCTTAAACATCTGCAGCGTCTTACCATGTGTCAACTCTCAGTTGCTATCAAGCACTACAAAACCTTGCAACACAGCCTCAGTTTGCACACTTAAGTCCTGAGGAGCACCTCCAAACAGTGTGAGGTGGGAACATGCAGTGTTTTCTATATTCTCTGTGAAACCATAAGCTGGAGTGTGGAGCTTAGAAGAAAGGGGGAATTTTAATTTCATTTGGATAATGGCCATTATTTCCATTCTCTGAAAAATCCAGAAGAAGACAAGGCTAGAAGTGACATTTCTGAAACACACTAGTTAATTCAGTGTACGTAGTGGCAAGTGCTCCTTACAAACAAACATGGCCTGTGTTCCAGGGTGCTCTGTGCTGTTTGTAGCTTTATTTGGGCAGCTTAGGTTTGTCTGCTTTCGCTAGTTACTCAAAATGATTAAGCACAGATTATGCTTCCAGGTAAATAAAATAAATGTGCATTAGTTAGTTATTGATGGTTTAGGTTTCTGCCTCTAGAGTATGTGACCTTGAGAAAGTTTTTAACCAAGCCTAGATTTCATCTATAAAAATAGAGTTATAGCCAGGTGTCATAAGGATTAGATCAGACAAAATGTTAAGACGCTGTAAGTGTTAGTATGTTACCAGTTTTTAATTCATCAAAGACAGCATTTGCTACGTGTACAAGAATTTTACAACATTGCATTTACTCCAGAAACAAAAATAGATTTTTAAATGTTCTCTGCATATATGCCTTTGGGAGTAAATATTCTGTCTAAAAATTAACTAAATCCAAGATACAAATTAATAAAAAAAAAAAAAGGAAAAATTAGTCAACTAATGACTTGATTAGTAAGACCGAAACCTTAAATCCAGAAATAGGCCTCCAGCTAGCCTGGTTAAGGTGCAAAGCACAGTGAATGCAAAATTTACTATGAAATAACTGAAAATACTTTTCTAACCTTCCCACCTTTAAGTGTTGACATTTTCTAATTTATTTTTATTACAAAGACAGTTAATACTAAAAAAAAACTGGAAGTTAGAGAAAGAAAAAGGGAATAATCAGCTTTTAGTACCTTGTCAGAAGCACTCCATCTGGAATATTTGGTGAGTTTTGCTGGGTGTAAATAGGTTTTAAACAGTAAAAGAAATATTTGATTCGGTGGCACCCCAGATCTTCCACAATAGACTTGAAAGTCTCATTCTTGTTGGAAAAATACAAAATTGGTTTATTTTATTCACAAATAGTTATTAATATACTCACAAAAAGTTAAGACAACCTAAGGAGGTTAAATAGCCATGGTGGGGGGTGTAATTAGGTTTATTTATTATGTTTTTAGAGGAGGTGCTGGGGATTGAACCTAGGACCTCGCACATGCTAAGCATGTACTCTACCACTTGAGCTATATACCCCTGCCTTTTATAGCCATTTTTTTTAACAAGGCAAATTGCCTTTTTTTGTAACGTTTTTCTATTGAGTTATAATAGCCATTTTTGAAAGCCAAGTAACATTCCATCTCTAACTCACATGATCAAAAGTTCTCTGGTATTCACTAAATTCACATAGTAAATGAGATGCTCACAAAACTGTTTCATGTGAAGTGTTTTGTTCCTTTATTCTCAAAGACAACAAGAAAAGAAAGCACATAATGTACTTGAAAATTCTAGAAGCAATTGAGTCATTTGTGTCTGGTAGTCAGGGGCTTGGTTCCTGTCCCTCCCTTCCCAGCAAGGCCAAGAGTTCACCTGAGGTGATACATTTCCCTTGAGGGTGAGGACTTGAATTGCAGCAAATAACCTACATGTATTTGCATATTTAACCAGTACTCACAAGAGGGACTATAACAAAAACCTGTTCTGGGCAGCTGCTTACTCACTGCTTTTAGAACTGTGTGGCCCTGGGACAGGCAGGTGCCAACTGTTTGCTCATTCTCTTTTGACCTACTAGCCTTCCACAGTTTGCTGTGTGGGTGTTGATACTACTAAAATAAAGATTTTTTTTTTAAGTTGTTTTAGATGGCCCCCACTCTCTACCCAAACACCCTGGATTCACTTGAGATCTTGGATTCTAGTTCTGTAGTTGGGACACTGTCCCAGACTGTGGCCCAGAGAGTGAGTCAGTTCTAAGTGGCCAGCTGACTCTCTGGGAACAGAAATGAAATGCAGCTTAGGGGGTTTGTCAGCCAAATCCACAAATGTGTGGCTTTTTGAAACATTGGACATCTGTTCCTCTTAATTTAAAATAAACCTTTTTAAAAAAGCACGAAGTTGCTTGGCTCCCTGTTTCTTTGTGTCAGCAGCAGTTGCCGCTCTAGCTTAGTAAGCCTAGAATCAGAATTAGAAAATTTGGAATCTTTCAGGCACACTTCAGAGAAAGTGGAACTGAAGGGAAGGGAAGAGATGATTTTACAGTAGAGAGTCTGTTTGGAAATCCCCTTCTGGGGTAATCAGCCCAGGTGTTCAGCCCGTTTGTTAACCATTTCCAAATGACTCAAAGGACGTAAAGGGAAGGCTTGGACACACTCCAGCACTATTTCTACAATGTGTAGTATCTGTTTGCGTTGGAAACCACATTCCTGAATTCTTGAAGGGAAGGCTCTGGCTTTTTCTCGGCATCTTTGGCTCAGAGCGACCCCTCGGCCACCTATCTGAACTAACAGTCACAGCCTTTTCAGAGTTTCCAGGGAGGAGTGTGGACAACTTGCTTTGATGGCCTTCCACTCACAGGCCTTTGGGGAAGAGCCTCGTTCATTCAAGGAGGTCTCCGAGGGCCCCTTTCCTCTCCTCCCTTTGTTACCACCTATCCCTTTTAGGGAACAGAGCATGAGCAGCTTTTTCCTTCAGGCCACGTTTGCCAGACCCACCCCGACAGCATTGCTTAATTGTGTCCCAGCCTGTTTCCGGTGGGGGGAAACTGTTTTCGTGGAGTGAGACAGTTTGGAATTTGAAAAGAGGGATGGTTCTGCCTCTCCCCGAAGGTGGGGGATGACTGTTCAGGTCGCTCCCGTCTTCCTTTGGCTCCTCACCAGGCTGTGTTGGAAACAGGGCCGCTCGGGTTCACTTCCCTTGGCAGTACGTGCCGAAGCCCAGCGCTGTTCGTCACCAGAGAACCTTGTTGTTCTCAGCCTCTTTTCATTACTTAAAAAGATGGAAGCCAAAAATAACGACAGGAGGCCTTTTGCTGCCTCTGCGCTCCCCCAGCCTCTTGAGAGTCACTTTCACTTGAGTGTCGGCCCTAAACCTCTTGCAGCAGCCAGATTTTCTCTACCTAAACTCGGCCACACCCTTGAGGCTCTTCAGACACCTCTGCTCCATGCTGCCCTTTGCAACAGCCCGTTCCCACTCCCACGTCCCCTGCATGGTGTGTTCTTTGTAACCAACCACACGACTCCAGCAATCAAGATTAGCTCCCAGGAACCTCCTGGGGTGGGCCCTGTACCAGGAAGCACAGTGGATTTATTGTAACTTTGATAATGACTAGCTTGCTTGCTTTGTACCAGGCACTGTTTTCAGTGCTGTTTTAAGTGTATTGTATTTAATCATTAAATCCTTACAACAGGCCCCATGAGGAAATTAAGGCAGAGAAGTTCAGTGATTTGCTGGAGGAAGCAGGGAAGTAGAGCAAGAATGGAAACCTGGGTTTTCTGGCTCTTCGCCACTCAGCTCTGCAGGAGAGTTCAGTGCAAAAGTCCGAGCTTCTGCTTACTTATTTCATCTTGTGATCACAAGGTGGGTGACGGGGAAAGGAAGACAGCAGAAAATCAAGGCCACAGCCTAAAAAGTTTTGCATTTAAATAAATGCGCAGACTTTGTGCTTCCCTGTCCAAGGGTTTGGGAAAGACAGCTCCACTCCTAGCCATCCTGTGTGGACAGGTTCCCAGAGTGATGTTTGCTATAATTACGATTACAAAGCAATTTCCATTTGTACGGATCTTTTTTCTTTTTCAAAGCACTGTCACATCTTGAGTGTTATTTGATCTTCATGACAACCCTGTGAAATAGGGCCAGTAGTGGTATTAGCCACACTGGGGAGAAAAAAAACTTTATTCACTTTAAAAAAAATCTCTACTAATTTAAGGTACTGGGGGGAGGAGACAGCTATTGACAAACGATCTCCCCTCCAGGAGCTGACAGCCTTCTTAGGGGTGCTATGCGTATGTGCAGGTGACTACCACGCAGAGTCAGAGGAAGGCCACAAGAATTGGGAAGAGGAAGAAATTGCTGACTAGGAAGGAGCAGAGGAGGTTTCGTGAGGATGTGGCATTTGAATTGCCAGGTAAGGGTGGGGCGAGAGAAGGGGTTCTAAGTCAGGAAGCCCTGTGAGAGCCACCAGGAAGGCACAGGTAAGGGAGCCGCGTGCAGGGTGGGTGGAAGAGATGCAGCCAGTGAGTCATCTACCTGTCATTCTTTGTCTAGCCCCATTTTGTTTCCTTTGAAGTACCTACATATAATTCACAACTAGTTTGTCTATTTTCTTGATTTTGTGGTTTCCTCCACTATAGCATAGGCCCCAGAAGGGCAGGCACTACTGGGCTCTCTTTTGTAAGCTCAGAGCCGAGCACAGGGTAGGGTCGCAGGGAGTGTTTGCTGAATGGATCCCGCAGTGGTCCAGGTGAGGCAGCAGTGGAGATTCAAAGGCAGGCAGGCAGGCGGTGCTACCCGGGTAGCGTCCAGGTAAGGGCGGAATATACATGAAGAAGGTACCAAAGAACCCTGAGAAGACAGCACTAACCATTGCTCACTGAGCCAGGAATATAGGAGGAGCAGCAAGTTTAAGGGAGAGTCACCGCTCCGTTTTGAACATACAGAGCAAAGATACTGATAGAATACAGACCCCCTATGGGTCTGTATGTCAGCTTTCCCAACTCAGCTCCTAGTGAATGTGCTGTCCTTTAGACACTCTGTAATTTCGCCCTGTCAGAGAATAAACTAGATTATTTCAGAGAATTCTCAATAGTATGTCCTCTGTACTT